GTCTCAACTCGTTAGGTAGCACAGACTGACTTCAGACTCTCAGCAATCCCCCTGCCCCAGCTTCCTGAACACTGTCATTATTGGCATGTGCAACTCCATCTGACTTTGAAGACCATTTTCTGGAGTGGCTCAGGACCCCTGAGTCCCTCTTTCGGGGCAGTCACCACAACTATTCCCTTTCCAACTGCAGGAAGATGGCGTCCCTTCTGCCCCCATATAGGAGCAAACAGCCTCTGAGGACGCTGCTGTGGCTATGAGCCTCTTGCCACCCTCCTTCCAAAGGTCTAGGCCTCCTGCCATGCTGGAGCGGGCTGCTGCCCGGTGCCTGGTTTCTCTCTCCTCTCTGCCCCTCCCCCTCTTATCACTGAGGCATTTGACTCTAGAGACTCAACAGTGAGCCCGCCAGGCAGAGCCGGGAGCTGCAAGCTGCTGTGAGCTGTGGGCCGGGCCGGGTGGGGACTAGATGCTGCATCTCGGAGAAGTGGGGCAGCTCCCCTTCCCTCTTACGCCCCTCCTTCCGCCCCTCCGCAATCCCTACCCCTTCCCAGGGGTCTCCGCACATTGGATCGAGTGGTCAGAAGTGACCTAGGCTGAGGGGGAGAGGGATCTGAGAAGCCGTCCTGGGGGACTGCTTCCATGTCCGGGCCCAGCTTAGTGCTAACCTGAAAGATGTCGTTGGCACACTTCCGGCAGAGGTTGTGCTGGCATGGCAGGATGACCACAGGCTTAGTAAACATCTCCAGGCAGATGGGGCAGATCAGCTGTTTCTCCAGGTTCTCCATGGCGTTTCCATCCGGAATCAAGCTAGATTTATAATCCATGTTGCTTTGAGATGTGGCTGCCTCCACCTGTTTCACACAGCGCGGCACTGGAGGGCTTGCCTTTGTCCCCAAGCCCACTGGGATCCTCTTTGTCTCCTTCTGGCATCTGACTTCTGCCTTGGTCTGATATTTATAGCTGTACCTCTGGTCACATGAGGCCCAGGAGGGGACCAGCTGAGCATTCCGATGCCAAACTGCTGGCCGGGCTTGAGTTTCCTCCAGGCCCCAAAGATTCGGCCCTCTCAGATCACATGCAGGGATGAGCAATCACTGTTCCCCTGGGATGGGGGTCGTAAACAGGAACAGACTGTTCAGAGCCAGGTTCAGGGGAGGGCCAGGTACCCGAGTTTCCTGCAGAAGTTGGTCTCTGCCCCCCCCCCGCAATGCACCCCCCTACAGCACTCCCCCCACACCCTCCCCTGCCCCCCACCCCGCCCCCAGTCAGATGGGAGTGAGGGAATGGGAACTAGAGGTTTCCCAGGCATTCAAGGGATTGACAGCCAGCTTTCCTGCGCCAACCTAAATCAGTTCCCCTTCTGAATCCTTGAGCAGCTCCAAGACAACAGGGCTTGGTTGCCCCTCTGTGAGCCCTTCCCCTTGTCTCAGACACCAGCCAAGCATTTTGATGGTGCGGGCGGCTCACCCTGGCACCCCTCAGCCATTTACTGCACTTCACGCTAAAAGGGCTTTCTTGAGGGCTGGTGGGGTGGCCCAGGGGTAAGGTACTTGCTGACAACCTGCGTTCACCTTTATTTGTTAAGGAAACGAAGATGAGATCCCTTACTGTGCCCCTAAATCCTGTGCCCTCACTCATGGAAGTCCGCCAGAGACTATCCTGGGCTTTGCATACATGTTCATTCTTGGGCCCCAGGAAGAACTGTGGGACACATGGATCTCTTGAGACAAGAGTGATCCGAGCCCTGAGGTAAGATCTAGTGATCTGCAGACCTATATGCCCAGTTACTCAGGAGGCTGAGGCAGGAGGATTAAAATTCAAGACCATCCTGGGCTATATAGTGTTGTCATGTCTCAGAATAGAAGGTAAAACAGAAGCTGATGGTAGTGGTGCAAACATTTAATCCCAGCACTCGGGAGGCAGAGACAGGATCTCTGTGAGTTCGAGGCCAGCCTGGTCTACAGAGTGAGTTCCAGGACAGCCAGGACTGTTACACAGAGAAACCCTGTCTCGAAAAAACAAAAAACAAACAAAAAAAGTAAAAAGATGGGGGCTGGAGAGATAACTGAGGTTAAAAGCACTGACTGATCTTCCAGAGGTCCTGGGTTTGATTCCCAGCAACGGCATAGTGGCTCACAACCATCTATAATGAGATGAGATCTGGTAACTTTTTTTTTTTTTTACGAGACAGGGTTTCTCTGTATTGTTTTTGGAGGCTATCGGTCCAGCCCGGCCTCGAACTCACAGAGATCCACCTGCCTCTGCCTTCCGAGTGCTGGGATTAAAGGCATGCGCCACCACCGCCCGCCCGAGATCTGGTAACTTTTTTGGGTGTGTAACCATACATGCAGGCAGAACACTGTATACATAATAAATAAATAAATCTAAAAATAAAGCAAAAAGATGGAGCACAAGACAGGGTTCAGTTCTCAGTATCCACATGGTGGCTCAAAACTCTTATTTCTAGTTCCGGGGGTTTGGCACCCTCTTCTGGCTGATGTAGGCACTGCATGCCCATAATACACATACATGCAGGCAAAACACCCATACACATAAAAAAATAAATTAATTAATCTTTAAAAATAGTAGGGGCTAGCCGGGCAGCAGAGGCACTTAGGAGACAGAGGCAGGCAGATCTCTGTGAGTTCGAGGCCAGCCTGGTCTACAGAGCTAGTTCCAGGACAGCCAGAGCTGATTTACAGAGAAACCCTGTCTCAAAAAAAACAAAAACAACAAGAAGTAGGGACTGGAGAGACACCTCAGCAATTAAGAGCACTGGCTACTCTTTCATGGGATGCAGGTTCAAATCCCAGTACTCACACGGTGGCTCACAGTTCTAGGTACACACACATACATGCAAGCAAAACACCTGTACACAGAATAAAAATACTTTTAAAGGCAAAAGGAAGGCAGAGATGACTTAATGATAGAGCATTTGTCTAGCATGTGGGATGATGACTTACATTCCACTGTTCATAAATAGCCCCCTCTAAAAACAACCTTAGGGGGGTCCCAAGAGCAGAGGGGCCAGTTTCAGGAAAGGACAGATGAGGAGGAGGGACCAGTCCCAACAAGATTACAAAGGACAGAGAACACATGTCATTTTTCCGGGTCTGGTGGCTCCACTCAGCCCCAGTCCTGGTGACTGGTGTTTGCTGAGCGCTTGCTACATGCCAGGCATGGTGCTAAGGACTCGCTTGCCTCGCTGCATTTGTCACCTGAACAGTCTACACTGCAGGAACTGTCACATCCCCACTAAACGGACAGGCAGGTCAGGTGTGGAGAGTAACCTGCGTGAAGTCACACAGCCAGCAGCAGGTGGCTCTGAGACACAGTCCGGTGTGAGCTTCCGGTGTGTCTGTGAAGGTGTGTTTGGGATAAGTCAATACTCTGGGGCCATCTGAGTGGGGGAAGACGAGAGCTGAGAAGAGGCATTCTTCCCAGGTCACAGGACCGTGGGTTCATTCAGGCATGCGCAGCCTGGTGCCCCAAGAAACAGGCTCCCTCTCCTGTCGCGGGGTAATCACAAGAGGTTGAAGCCTGTGCTGCTAATCTCATTTCTGGCTAATGGTGCAGTTTTGCCAAAGTCTGTATTGTTAGCAATAACATTCGCTAACACTAAGCACTTTCTCCATGCTAGAAACATGGAAGAAAGTTTCATGCTTATTTGAATAGGGCCATGAGAGAGTAGGCAGCCATTTTACAGCTAGACAGTGTGACAAAGAAGCCAGCACTCTGAGGAATGCTGAGGGGAGCTATGAAAAGGTCCCTGGTGCCAATTGGGACAACCTTATTCATGCCTACTTAAGAGGTACGATAGGGCTGATGGCTCAGTGGTTAAGAGCACTGGCTGTCCTTTCAGAGGACCTAGGTTCGGTTCCCAGCTCCTATATGGTGGCTCACAACCATCCGTAACACCAGTCCCAGGGGAACTTATGCACAGACATACATACAGGCAAACCATATACATAGAAACTTAAAATAAATTTTAGAAATAAATATTTTTTAAAAAGATGTTCAGCCAGGCGTTGGTGACTCAGGCCTTTAATCCCAGCACTCAGGAGGCAGAGGCAAGTGGATCTCTGTGAGTTCGAGGCCAGCCTGGTCTACAGAGCTAGTTCCAGGACAGCCTCCAAAGCAATACAGAGAAACCCTGTCTCAAAACAAACAAACAAAGATGTTCAAGGCCATACTCGGCTACATATTGAGTCCAAGGTAAACCTGGGCTATATTAGATACTATTTCAAAATCAAGAAACAAAAAGGGGGGTTGGGTAGTGGGGATGGCAGTGGCCCACACCTTTAATCGCAGCACTCAGGAGGCAGAAGCAGGTGGATCTCTGTGAGTTTGAGACTAGCCTGGTCTACATAGTAAACCCCAGGCTAACTAGAGCACAGAATGAGTCCCTATTTCAAAACAAACAGGCAAACAAACTAGCAAAAATATACTTAAGAGCCAATGGGCCAGGGAGTGGTGGCACATGCCTTTAATCCCAGCACTTGGGAAGCAGAGGCAGGCGGATCTCTAAGAGTTCAAGATCTACAAGAGCTAGTTCCAGGACAGCCTCCAAGGCCACAGAGAAACCCTGCCTCAAAAAAAAAAAAAAAAAAAAGCCAATAGGAGGACTCTGCCTGTGGACAAAGACCTAGGATCTACACTGTAAACAGAGAGAACCGATTCCCAGAGATTATTACTTCCATATGTAACAAAAATTTATATTTTAAGAAGATTCTTAAGCTTAGACAGATGAGAAAGAGGAGATAGGCCGGATTCTGACAAAGGGAATTTCAGTTTTGAGATGTGGGCTGGGAGAGGGAAAAGACAAAGGGAACATTCGGGGTATCGGGAGCAGGAGGGAAAAGAGTTGGCCAACTTCTGGGGCTGAGCAGTGTGGACAGTGGCAGAGAGGGTCTGGATTAGCCCGTGCAGGGAACAAGGAAGGGCCTTGCTGCTGTTTGTGTTCTGGACGTGCTTGTCACCTGGGAGAGCCAGTCACGGTTCCTGTTGACTTTCTCCAGCCCCACTGGGCAGGCCAGGTGCAGAGCCAGCAAACGGACAGCGGGATGGCCTCCAGCATGGACACTGGTAAGGCCAGCGATGTTGAAAGTCAGTGGTGAGGTGGGGAAGTTCTCATGTGGGCTGCACTGGGCAGCAAAACGTGTCTGGGCATTCGATCCTCACATCTGTCCTTCAGGACATCTGTTTTTCCTCTCCCAGCAGGAAGTGAGGTTCCAAGAGTTAGCTGACTTGGCCCAAGTCACACAGCTACAAATGGCAGAGCCAAGCCCTGGTTCATCTCCAAGGTAGCCTGACTCTCAAACCCATGCTCCTCTGTTAGAGCAGGTATTGTGTGCTTATTATGGGCTGGCCATTGTGCTGAGACTTTTCTGTACTTCCTGTCATTCTGGGTGACTCAGTGGGGGCAGGGAGCCGCACCTTCCCGGTCGCCAGCTGATCTGCTGAGGCTCAGAGGCATGCAGTCACGCAGCCAAGCTCCACCAGGAGTATGCGGGAGAGCCAGTGGCGTCACCGTGAAGTTATGCCAACACCACTGCCAGTCATCAGAACACGGGATTGGCAGGTGAAGAGACCAATATGAATTATCAGTGGTGAGCTGGGCCCAGGACTGTTTTTGAGGAGAGACAGCGTCTCACAATGTAGCCTGTGGTGGTCTGGATCTCCTCTGTAGACCAGGCTGTCCTTGAACTCGGAGATCCACCTGCCTCTGCCTCTGCCTCTCAAGTGCTGGTGTTGGAGGCATGTACCACTATGCCTGACGCAAGCTTTTTTTTTTAATGTTGGATCTCATGTAGAGTTAGCAGACTGGTGATAAAGGCCTGATCCTTCTGCCTCTGTCCCCCATGTCCTGAGATTACAGGCACGGGATTCAATGTGTGGCTTATTTTTTCTTTAATGAAGATTTCAAACATATGAAAGTAGGAAGAACAGTCTAATGAGCTCAGTAATCAAGCCCAGCTTCAATTAATTCATTGGTGTGTGTGTGCATGTGTGTGTGTATGCACATGTGTGTTCACATATATGTGTGTGTGCCTGTGTGCTCGAGTGTGTGTGTGTGTGTGTGTGTGTGTTACTGAAAAATGAACCTAAGACCTTGCATGCTAAGCAAGCACTCTACTAGCAACCTTCTCTGTTTTTTTTAAAAATTGTTTGTCAGGACTGGAGAGATGGCTCAGCTGTTAAGAGCACTGACTGCTTTACCAGAGGTCCTGAGTTCAATTCCCAGCACCCACATGGCAGCTCACAGCTGTCTGTAACTCCAGTTCCAGGTGACCGGACACCCTCATCCAGAAATCTATGCAGGTAAAATGCCAATGTATATAAAATTAAAGAAAAGGAAAAAAAAAAAAAGCACTGGCTGACCTTCCAGAGGATCCAGGTTCAATTCCTAGCACTCACATGAAAGTTTACAACTTTAACTCCAGTTCCAAGGGATCTGATACCCTCACATCAAAGCATATCAAAATAAAATATAATAAATTATTAAAAAATTGTTTGCCAATTTCATGCATTTGTATAATGGATTTTAGCCATGTTCACCTCCTATTCCGAATCCTCCCTCACCTCCTTCCCTCCCCCACTGGGGCCCCTTCTTCTCAACAAGTCTCCCATCTACAAGCATCAGCTGTAGATAGCAATTCTGGGAAGAGTGGCATCTCTGCCCGTGATGAAATGTCGACAGGTCCAACTTTGTGCAAGTCTCGTCAGACAGCCACAGCTGCAGTGAGTTTACCAGTGAAACGGCTGCGTCATGTGGGTGCTGGGAGTTAAACCTAGGTTCTATTATTATTATTATAGGTACACATCTATAGTTTTACTTGACTGTGAACTCTGCATGCACGATACTGACCTGCTAGGCAGCATGTACTCAGTAGTGCAATAGAGGCATGGTTTTGTGGGGATAACTAAGTATTTTCCAATTAAATCTGAGGCCGTTTCCACAATGGTGGAAACCTACTACTTTTTTTCCCCTAAGTAATCATGGTGCCAATCTTTTTTTTTTTTTTTTCCTTCTCTATTCTATTTTGAGATAGGATGTTCCCAAGGTGAGAGGACTGGTCTCAACTCACTCTATAGACTTTTTTTGCCTCCAACTTTTGGTTGCTCCTGCCTTAGTCTCCACGTGGCTGGGATTACAGACATGCGCTGACAGGCCTGTCTATGGGCCACGCTAATTGTCTGCATTTTTCAGAAGAGGAAACTGAAGTACGGACTGGTATTTGGAGCCCCCATTTGTACACCACGGGTATGGTAAAGCTGGGGCAGGCCTGTTTAGTTCCTAAGTCTGTGCTCTTTGATTGTCACAGAAAAGGGACTTTTCAGAAACCCGAGAGCTTGAGGCCTCTTGGGTCATAGGAGAGGCCCCTGCCAAGGGCTGGAACCTGGGCTCTGACTCTCTGTGACCAAGACTTGCAATGTGATACCCAGCAGGCCACACCCACCACCAGTGACTCCATCTGCCAAATGGAACAACTGCTGGAAAGGATTCCCAAGGGTCCTTTTTTGTCCCCACTGGTCTATTCTCAGGGGAGTTGTGCAAGATGACAAAGTTGTGGGGAGAGTGTTGTCACAGGGGAGGAGACCGCCTCCTCTTCCCTTTCACACCTTCGTGGTTTATCACAGAATGTCCCGGAACAGCTCTATGTCAGGTGCCTGTCTGGTCCCACCTGCCCCTTCCTCCCCCACATAGGGTTTGGCGGTCCATTCTGCTTCTGCTCTGGACCTTCAGGAACAGGAGCAGGGAGGCACAGGGGCTGTTTTGCCAGGGCTTGAACCTCAGTCACAGACTTTGACGTCATCTTCAGTGAAGAATCAACCCAAATCACAGAATCAAATCAATGGTCATTTGATCTAGTGGCTAAAGCCAGAGCAGTTGGCAGAGTCAGGCCCATAGGTTCTCGACATGATGCAGTGTCCCAGGGGCCAGCACGATGTCCACTGGGCCTGACCCACACACCTTAGAAAGGACCAGAGTATCCCAAGAACTCAGTACATGAAGCCTGGGCCAGGAGTCCCATGGCCTTCTTCTACTGTCCCCAGGTCTAGACAGCATTTATGGACAGTTGGAGACTCTGGGGAGTGGGTGGTCTTTAAAGAAAGGAACTATCAGGTTAGGCATGGTGGCAACGTCTTTAATTCCAGCCCTGGGGAGGCAGAGACTGGTGGATCTCTGTGAGTTGGAGGCCAGCCTGGTCTACAAATCGAGTTCCAGGATAGCTAGGGGTCTTAGACAGAGAAACCCTGTCTCGGTAAAAAAGAAAGAAAGGCAGGCAGTCAGGAAAGAAGGAAGGAAGGAAGAAAGGAAGGAAGGAAGGAAGAAAGGAAGGAAGGAAGGATGGATGGATGGAAACTATCTCAGGGACCATGGAGGCCAAACATACGAGGTGGCTGAGGATTGATGGGTCTGGAAAGGGGAGATAACATGCTTTGTGGAGTGTAAAAAATAACAGAGCCACACCCTGAGCCCCTGAGAGTCGCCCAGGACCAATGCAGCTGAGGTCAAGTTTAGGATCCTTCACAGCAGTGGTTAGATCTGTCCCTCAGGCAAGATAGTCAACATCTCCCTGTCAGCTTGCTAACCTGTGAAATGACAGTCAGGTAGAGCAGAGAGCTCTCTGGGCCAAGAGTCTAGACTTCAGGGTGACTCTCCTTTAGCCTCTGCAGCACAAAGGCGGGAGCCTGTCTAACCCATGACAGCCCTTCAGAAACATCGCCCTGGATAGGGAGCAGGACTGGCTGCCATCTGCTCAGCAGGACCTCAGCCATCCCATGCTGGACTTGAACTTAGTGTAGAGCTGAGGATGACCTTGAACTCTTGATCCTCCTGCCTCCACTCCTGAGCACTCCCACATCTGGCTTACATGGGGGCTGGGGATGGAGTTCAAGGCTTCACACAGGCTAGGCAAGCACTCTACCAGCTGAGCCTCAATGTGTAACCACCGACTGCTCTGGATCTTACTATGAAACCCAGGCTGATCCCCAGTTCATGACAATTCTACCACAGCCTCTGGAGCTCTGTGATTACAAGTGATGGCTTCAGTTCTTTTTGAGCTGAGGTCTCCATATGCAGCCCAGGCTGGCCCTTGTGGTCTCCTATCTCAACCTCGACTTGTAACCCCACAACCTGCATCTGTGGATTGTCTTTTTCTGCCTAGCAGATTATCTCCGAATTTAGCTAAAAAGCATAATAAACATTGACTATCATAGTTTTGGTGGATCAGCTAAGTTGGTGTTTCTGGCTCAGGGCCACTTGAGAGTCTGTGATGGTGGAGACATTGGCTGGATTACTGGTCAGCTTCTCTGAGGGTTTAATTGGAGTTACGGGAGCCACTTCAAGACAGCTTACTCAGTGTTTACAATTGCAGCCCTCAGCCCATGTATCTGTCCACAGCACACACACATGAGCACACACACACACACACACACACACACACACACACACACACACACACACTCCTGAACCATGGCACCTAACTCAGAGCAAGTGACTCAGAAACAATGGCAACGTCTTCAGTGAGTTGGCCCGGAAGTCACACACCATCAGTTTTAAAATGAACTTTTGTTGATTGCATGTATATGGGCGCATGTAGAAGTCAGAGGACAACATGCAGGGGTCAAATCTTTCCTTCCCGTGTGGGTCCCATGAACTGAACTCAGGTCAGACTTGGTGGTCAGTACTGTGCCATCTCTCCAGCCTGACTCTCTCATTGTGACTGAATTCTCTGGGGTGTCACAGCCTGACCTTAATGCTCAGTGAGAGAGGCAAGAGCTGTTGAGGACTTTCATGGAGGCTGGTTACAGTCTGTCCTAAGCATTTTATAGGTACTGTTTATTAGTTCATGAGGTCCAGTCCAGTTCCATCCCCACTAAACAGATAAGGAAACTGTGTCAACATGCTTGCACACTGGATAATAAATCCTGGATTAGACTCCCAGAAAACAGGCTGGGGCATCGGTAGGGGCTGGAAGCTTGTGTTGCCCCAAATTCACAGTCATACCTGGGTGTGAGGATATGTGGAGACCAGGCCTTCCTTACGTATGAAGTTCAAGGCCAGCCTGGCATGTGTAAGACCCAGGCTTGAGAGAATTGAATAATAAAAAGTCATGGGGAGACCACAAGAGAAGGTAGCATCCCTTCCTCCGTGCACACAGCAAGTATGCACACACCAAGATGTGACTTTCCTCCTGGCCTACGTTGCCAGCTCCTTCCTTGATCTTCCCAGGCTCCAGAACTGAGAGAAGTCAGTTTCCAGTGTTGAATTCTGATCATCTGTACAGCAGTTGCTATGGCAGCCCAAGTAGATAATTGCATTATTTTAAAAAATAATTTAGCCAGAGGCCGTGGTGGCAAACACCTTTAATCCCAGTACTTGGGAGGCAGAGGCAGGTGGATCTCTGTGAGTTCCAGGACAGCCAGTGCTGTTACACACAGAAACCCAGTCTGGAAAAGAAGTTAATTTTACTTTATTGGTATTTTGCTTGCATGTATGTCTGTGCAAGGGTGTCAGATCTCCTGTAGGTGAAGTTATAGACAGTTGTGAGCTGCCATGCAGTTGCTGGGAATTGAACCCAGGTCTTCTGGAAGAGTAGCTAATGCTCTTAATCACTGAATCATCTCTCCATCCCTGATAATTGCATTTTTTGTTTGTTTTGGTTTTTTTGAGACAGGGTTTCTCTGTGGCTTTGGAGGCTGTCCTGGAACTAGCTCTTGTAGACCAGGCTGGTCTCAAATTCACAGAGATCCTCCTGCCTCTGCATCCTGAGTGCTGGGATTAAAGTCGTGTGCCACCACTGCCTGGCGATAACTACATTTTTAATTGTGTGTGTGTGTGTGTCTGTGTGTGTGTGAGAGAGAGAGAGAGAGAGAGAAATAGAGAGAGAGAGAGAGAGAGAGAGAGAGAGAGAGAGAGAGAGAGAGAGAGAGAGAGAGAGAGAGAGAGTTCACACATGCTTCAGTATAAGTCAGAGGACAACTTCACCATGTGTGTCCCCAGGACTAAACAAGCATGGCGGGAAGTCCCTTTACGCACTGAGCCTTCTTACTGGCTCCTCACTTCTTTCTCTTCTGAGCTGTGCACACTGGCTGGCTCCCATGCTTCCTGTCCGGGTCCAGGCCTGGAGGAGAGACTGTCCTCACTGGCAGCCGCCCTAAACTCCCCAGAAAGACCTAGGAAGAGCTGGAGGAGGCGTCCCAGGCACTTTGCCAACCAGTGGCTCTGGGCTGCCTCTGCTGTCCCTGACTTTGCTCGTGCCTCAGAGAGCTAGTCTTGGGGGTTCAGCTGTTGCTGCACCCCACCGCACCAA